AACATTGTGTTGATGGGGGAATTCCTCCTGTGGAGCTGTTGTGTTCTCCCCGATGGGAGGCACAGGGAGGAGCTAGCAGCTATAGCCACTGGCTATAATCACATGAAAAATCTGACAGGCTGGTTGTACCCAAGTCGTACAGCAATCGATTTAGGTACAGTCAGCCTGCCCACAGATGGTTCAAATCTCAGCCTGTCCCTGCTGAACCAACCGAGATTCAAACCATCTATTGCCGGCTTTACAATGTGTTCAATTGTTCACATGCAAAGACCACCTTTACCGAATTTAATTGGTTAAGAAAAACTTTCTGTCCTGCTCCTTTGAGTTTTCTCATCACTTTGGTCGAAAATGACCGTCGGTGTGACACCAATATCAATTAGAAAATTGATTTCATGTTCTGAAAATTTTTGTATGAAATTCTATTTGGGTAAGGTCAGCTTTAGTATGTGCAGTAATGATAATGGTGTTTAACCACTAAAATCTCCGGAAGATTTTACCCCCCTGCATGACCAGGTAATTTTTTGCTATACCGCAGTACAATTTAACTGGTAATTGCTCAGTCATGCAACACTGTATCCAAACAAAATTTATATATTTTTTTTTCACAAAATTAGAGCTTTCCTTTGGTGGTGTTTGATCATCGCTGGGTTTTTATTTATTTATTGTGATATAAATGAAAATTGTGAATTTTTTTTTTTTTTTTTTTAGTTTCTAAAAACATATCTAAATATTAAAGAAAATATAATTTTGAAATACATTTTGGCCAACATGTATTCTGCTACATGTTGATAAGAATAAGTGTATATTGATTGGTTTGCATGAAAGTTATAGTGCCTACAAACTATGGGATATATACTGGCAATTTTTATATTTTTTATTTATACTACTAATGGCGGTCAATCAGCGATTTATAATGGGCCTGCAGTAGTGTGGCGGGCAATGTGACACTGACACTGGGTGGAAACTGACTAACTGCCACTAACATCACTGGTGACAACACAATGATCAGTGATATTACACATTGTCAGTGTACTAATGGCACTGGCTGGGAAGAACTGACAGATCGCTGCTTGTGTACAGACCTATGTGTTGAATGTCAACACAGAGCTCTGTGTTGAATGTCAACACAGAGCTCTGTGTTGAATCAGCTGTGTGATAGTACACAGCCAATCAGCAGGTCCCGGCCGAGAATCATTGGCTGGGATTTGCTGACAGGCTCCCGCTGTGTACAATCACAGCAGGTGCCCAGCAAGGTGTGCATGTGCACCCAGAAGTAGGCAGCAATATAACCATACTTCGCTTTGCCTACATTGGCTGCCCATCCAGAGCACATTGCAAATTAGCATGTATGCCAGTCACAATGCATTTGCATTAAATTGTATCTACTAATAGAGAGTTTCTCACTTTGCAACTATTCAGCACTAAGATGGACATTAACAAGTTTATTAATATGGCATTCAAACCTTCCTATCAAAATTATATTTCTTTTTTTAAAGGTTTTATAAACCTTCCTACCCGCACCTCATGTTTTTCACCTGCATAAGATCTGCATTGGTCATGTAGTTTCATGGGGTCATTTTGTAGCCTTTTAAGCACAGCCTGTAGTATCTTCACATTCATTTGTTTGCAGATTGTTTGAGTTTAAACATGAGGCACTGCACAGGTTAATACATGACCTCTGTCTATAGTCTAAGAACTGACGTTTCCACCACAATTCCTGTCTAATGCTCTGCAAGTGAAAGCTTAAGGCTCCATGCACACTGGGCGTTTTAATAATGCTGGTAACGTTAGCTGTGTAAAGTCACGTTAAAATCGTGAGTTTTAAGCATTGGCGTTTTGCGTTTTTTAGCTTTTTTTTTCTCACCAAAAAACACCCATTTTTTTTTTTTGCTCAAATAACTGTCCAAAAACACCGGTTTATCGTGTTTTACCGCATTTTGCCACGTTTTTCAGTGTTAGAGCATTTTTTACAACTAAAAAACTCCTCTAGAAACCCACTAGTTCTGGGGGGTTTTTCCAGCCAAAAAACGCCCCTGCCAAAAACCGCTGATTACAGTCTATATGTGCATGGACACATTATTATTATTATACAGTATTTATAAAGCGCCAATAGTTCGCTCAGCGCTGTACATTACAAAAGGGGGACAGAACAATACCAATACAATGCAAAACATGAGGGGATTGAGGGCCCTGCTCTTTCAAGCTTACAATCAAGGAGGGAGGGGATGGTGGCACAGGAGGAGATAGCTGTGGGGGATGGAGTGGTGGAGGAGGTCGGTCAAGTTAGCAAGGGGTGGGGTAGGCTTCCCTGAAGAGAGATGGGTTTTCAGGGTGCGCCTAAAGGAGAGGAGAGTAGGTGATAATCTGATGGGTTGGGGCAGGGAACTCCAGAGGATGGGTGACACCCTGGAGAAGTCCTGGAGGCGGGCATGGGAGGAGGAGACCAGGGAACTAGAGAGAAGGAGGTCTTGTGAGGAGCGGAGTGTGCGTGCTGGGCGGTACTTGGATATTAGGTCAGTGATGTAGTTCGGGGCATTATGGTGGACGGCTTTGTACGTCAGTGTTAGGATTTTGAATTTGATCCGTTGCACAATCGAAAGCCAGTGGAGGGATTGGCAGAGGGGGGTGGCGGAAATGGAGCGGTTGGAAAGGTGAATGAGTCTGCCAGCCGTATTCAGGATCGACTGAAGCGGGGATAGCCAGCGGCGAGGCAGGCCAGTGAGGAGGGAGTTGCAGTAGTCGAATCGTGATATGATGAGGGAGTGGATGAGCTGTTTAGTGGTTTCTGGGGTTAGGAACGTGCGTATTTTGGCGATGTTGCGGAGGTGGAGTCTGCACGAGTTTGTTAAAGATTGGACTTTGGGCTGTAAGGATAGGTTGGAGTCCAGAATGACACCAAGTACTCTGGCCTGCAGGGCGGGTTTGATATTGGCGTTGTTGGATGTGATGGAGAAGTCAATGGGGGGTGGGGTCTGGGCTGGGGGGAAGACAAGAAACTCTGTTTTGGAGAGGTTCAGTTTAAGGAAGTGGAGCGACATCCAATCTGATATGTCGCTCAGTAGGTGTGTGATTCGGGCAGAGACCGAGGGGGTGAGGTGGGGGGTTGAGAGATAGATTTGTGTGTCGTCGGCATAGAGATGATAGTTGAAGCCGTGAGAGTGTATGAGTTGGCCAAGGGAGGAGGTGTAGATGGAGAAGAGAAGGGGCCCAAGGACAGAGCCTTGAGGGATCCCAACAGAGAGGGGGAGTGAGGGGGAGGTGGTAGCATTATAGGTAACGCTGAAGGAGCGTTGTGACAGGTAGGATGAGAGCCAGGAGAGAGCAGAATCTCTGAGGCTGAGGGAGTGTAGTTTATTGAGGAGGAGGGGGTGGTCGACTGTGTCGAAGGCCGCAGAGAGGTCAAGGAGTAGGAGCACTGAATAGTGGCCATTAGCTTTGGCGGTTAGAAGGTCGTTGGAGAGTTTGAGTAAGGTGGTTTCGGTGGAGTGTAGGGGACGGAAGCCAGACTGTAGGGGATCGAGGAGGTTGTTGTCGTTGAGGTGAGAGCATAGGCAGGTGTAGACGAGGCACTCAAGGAGTTTAGAGGTAAATAGGAGCAGGGAGATGGGTCTGAGGTTGTTCGGGTCATTGGGGTCCAGGGAGGGCTTTTTAAGTATGGGGGTGATGTGTGCATGTTTCAGAGGGGAGGGGAAAGTGCCTGAGGAGAGGAAGAGATTGAAGATGTGGCTGAGGGAGCGTAGGATGGAGGGGGAGGGAGGTTGTAGGAGTTGTGAGGGGATAGGGTCGAGGGGGCAGGTGGTGAGGCGGGCATCAGAGAGGATCTTGGAGACTTCCTCGATGGTAGTAAGGTCAAAGGTGCGGAGTGTTTGGGGACTTCAGTATGAGGAATGTAGGGTGGGGTGGAAGTGGAGGTCAGAGCAGTGGTGGGGGCCGTGGGAGAGGGGTGATGAGGGGGTAGCTGAGTGAGGGGGAACGGGGTTGGAGGGAGTTTGAGCAGTGACGAAGTCCCTGCGGGTTATGTCGAGGGGGAGGGGGGATGAGGGGGTAGCTGTGTGAGAGGGGACGGGTTGAGAGGGCGTGTGAGTTGCGGCAATGTCCTTGCAAATTGTGTCAATCTTGTTTTTGAAGTGATTGGTAATCTCAAGGGTGGTGAGTGAGGTGCTGGGTGGAGGTGGGGGGGCGAGAGTAGAGAGTTGAAGGTGGAGAAGAGTCGGCGAGGATTGGAGGAGAGGGTCTTGATGAGGGTCAGGAAGTAGGCTTGTTTGGCTGCGTGGAGGGAGGAGGTGTAGGTGTGGAAGGCAGATTTGTAGCGGGTGAAGGCTTGTTGTGATTTTGTTTTGCGCCATAGTCGCTCCAGGGCACGACTGTGTCGTTTGAGGGTTTTGGTGTGATCAGTCTGCCAGGGCTGGAGCGGTCGGGGTCTGATGTTGCGTGTGGTTAACACATAGGATAACATGCTGGGGATTTTACTGGCTTTAGAAAAAAAAACGTCAAAAGCCAAAAACCAAAGCTGTAAAAACGTCCAGTGTGCAGGAGGACATGTAATCAGATCTGACACAGGTCAAGCAGGCAGAGCAAAGAAGGGAAGAGATGTGTTTTCATCACATTAACACTGCCATAGTTGTAATGCAACACAGAGGAAATGGTGAGGCATAGACTGGATGCTCCGTGGCCTAGAACAAGAAGTTGCCCATCTCTTCGTGAATAGGGATAAGCTAGGTGAATGAATACATGGACATAGATGGGATCAATCAGCCATAAAACTGAAACATATGAGCCTATCATTGCAGGGTCAGGCAAGTAAACAACACAGGGAATATGACTACACTAATGACAAAAACATTTGAAAGTGTTCAATGTCTTTTAAACACTTTTACAGACTTGGTTTTATTTGGTAAACTCCTTATTTCTTAATGTTTCAATTTGTTACTTTACCTGTTGAATAGAAATCATTTGTTATAAAACCTTTCTTGCAGTGTCATTCCTTGAATCTGGGAAAAATGCCTGTGGAAAGGATGCGGATGCGGCCGTGGTTAGAAGAACAAATAAATGCGGATCGAATCCCTGGGCTGAAATGGATAAATAAGGTATTGTCCTACTTGTTAATGTTATTAAGTGTTTCCCTAGCATTATTGTCCTGTTTGAAGAAAATTCTACTGAGTTAAAAAGTAAGGACAAAGCTTTTTCTTTCTGTAATACGAATGTCAAAAGTCACATTTTTCCTACAAATTTTGATTCACTTAAATGCGTAATTTTTTTCACTGAACCCACCACTCTGCTGCCACCATTATTTTTATGACACTGGATTATTGTCATTAACTTCTGCGGCATAGTGCCTGACAAGAAATCAAAGTCTGTTTTCTGATCTTCTTTCCATGGGACATCTGCTTCCTTACAGCTGGTCATGTGTACAGTCAGTCAGAACCTTGAAGACACATTCACACCAGAAACTGCATGTTTACTGCATGTTTTTGCATGCAAGGTAACATGTGCTTGACACACATTTTTGCATGAATTTGTGCTGCCTTTTTCTATGTTTGCATGTCCTTTTAAGACCACTTCTGTCTTCTGTCTTCTTTGGGCTTTTATGTGCACTGCATTGCATTTGCACAGGATTCTGTGCATTTGCAGTGCAGAAAAATGAAGCTTGCTGTACATTTTTTGCACTGCACTGTAATGGTGTAAACTATGCGCATAGGATAACCTGGATTTTGTACTGTATGCAGTGGAAATGCAGTCAAAAGGCATCAAACTGCATCTGGTGTGAATGGGCCCTTAAAGTATACATAAAGGCAAAACACTTTTTTTTTTTTTTTTTTTTTTTTTTTTTTAAATGTTTGATGGAGAGTGTAGAGGGATTTGACCACTTGTTAGTTTCTATTGCTTCTCTGTGTCCCCATTAGGGAGATTCATCCTTTCTGTTTGTCCTGTTTACCATTATTATTGAAAGTGAAAGACAAAGAAAAACCCAAATTTTGGGTTGTCCCCAGAAAAGTAATTGAGGGGAGAGATTTTCCAATGGGAACACTAGTTCTGGTGACCTGGGGGTCCCCAAGGAATTCCCTTAATTTGCAGGAATTTCCGCTCACTTCCTGTTTTTGGCTATGGGACAGGAAGTGAAGGGAAATTTGCACAATGGGACATAGATGGTGAAAAAAAATTTGACAAGGGTTATAATGCTCCCTTGCTCTATCCAAATAGTTCTACTTTAAGGTTGCTTTTATGCCGATGATCGCTCTTTATGGAATGCAACAAAGATCGGCTGCTTTATCAACAAGGGTAATTGCCAAGATGAATGAATATTTTCACACGGAAATTCCCCCGATGGTTGATTGACCCTTACACACATGCATAGTTACATTGTCATTTACACTGTGCAAATATGTGATTCTGGAAGGATACTTCTTAAAAAGGTTATTACAAATGAACTAAAATTTGTTTAAAATGTAACTCCAGAAGCATATGTCACTTATCACACTAGCTGCAGCACAGTCTTCATCTAATGAGTTCTGTTAGCATTGTGTATGTATGAAAGTGCATTGCACAATCCGCAATTTCAAGAGGAAATACATCAGACATATTATTCATTGTCACCAGCTTTTTTTATGTTGGAACTTCCTCTTAGATTCTTAAATATTGTAAAAAGTTTACATAACTCACTTGAGGTTTGTTAGCAATTACACAATACTTTATCACTTATTAAAACAGCTGTCAATAAAAATTGTAAATTAGATCTTTTTTATCACTTTATTTCTCTGTATTACTAATGATGAGAAGTGAGCTAACTTCCCAGGCTGCAGGTTGGATGGTAAATCTCTGTGAATGATTAACTTTACTTCCCTAGCTATTGAGTTGTTTGTCAAGTCAAAGCTTGTACTGGGCAGAGTAACTGTCACATTTGAGTTGTTTTCTGTACAGATAGTATCTTCACTTGCTGTAACATGAAGGCATTGGAACAGAGGTGTAGCTAAACTCCATTGGGTCCTGATAAAAAAATTTAAACCAGGGTCCCCAATGTCACATTTTTTAATACCAGTTAGCATGCTGGGCACACTAATAAAATGTATAATATACTAAGCCTGTATTACAAGGAGAACTGCCCCAAACTGAAACATGGCCTGTAGACTTCTCTACACTGTTCATGTATTAGCCTTGTGCTAAGTCTACTCTTCCACTGTAATGATATTTCTTATTAGGCAGGACATTGCAGAGAGGTTTTATTTTTTCAAACACTAGGGGAAGAGGTATATGAAAGATGGCAATTGCACAGATCTCTCTTAAAGCGGAGTTCCACTCACACTGTAAAAAAAAAAAAAAAGTCAGCAGCTACAAAAACTGTAGCTGCTGACTTTTAAAAAAAAAATAGCCACTCTACCTGTCCCACGATCCTGCAGTGCCCCTGCCGCAGCCAGTTTCACCGGCCGTCCTGTACCCCAGGCACCGGCATCTTCAGAGTGGGCACCCGGCTGTGACAGCTTGCGGCTTCACTGCACATGCGCGAGTAGCGCTGCGCTTCCTGAATGGCCCCGTCATCTTCTGGGACCTGTCACGTGTTCTACCCTTCCTCCCCGTAGTCTTGTGGGAGGACAACTTCCGCTTCCGAATGCCTAGGTGATCGGACCAGAAGTGGGAGCGGTTACCTGTCAGTTTCGTGTAGCTGCTCCCCCCCAATCCCTAATAGGGAGCGAGGGACCTGTCTTTAAAGCGGAACTTCCCCTTTTTGGTGGAACTCTGCTTTAAGCTGACAGTGGACATTCAAGAGTGGCCAATTGTTTAGGAAGGGTTTAACTGTCAGGTGGCACACTCAGATGGCTATCCCATACATGTGTGCACAAAGCTCAACCAAGCATATAATGTTTAAGATTGGAGCTGAAAGAGGAAGCAAAATTTACTGTGGGTGGAGCAATAACCATCGGACAGGTATCTGCTGTCTTCATAGGCTAAATCATGTAAAGATCAAGCTTAAAGGAAACCAAACCTGCCATGAAGGAAGAGTGGGGACTTGAGGATCTCCGACCTCGCCTTTTAAAATGATCGTTATGGTGACTGTTATGCTGACTATCCGGCTTTAATGTTTTGAGTAAGTGCCCAGGAACGAGTCCTCGTATAAGAATTTCTGACTCTTCTCTAGCTTTATTCATCTGCACACCTGTTGCTAGTCAGTGGCTTAAAGTATTTAACCTACTGGGTAAGTTTAACAGCCAGTCAACTAGAATTGAGGGAGCTGTCATGTGGATCTTACCTTCACTTCCTGTTGTGTCACTTACCTGGAATAGGCATGCAGAATAAAAATTCTGACTTTTAAAACTTCACTGGCTGCATGCTTGTTCCAGATCAGCGACTGACTAGTTTGAAGGCAGGATCAGTATGGCACTCCCAGAGCCTGTTTATACAAGAAGACCAAGTCAAGAATGACCACACCATATTGCTTGCCTCACTGGTTTACATTAAGAAAGAATGCAATAAAAAAATGATAGCTAAGAAGAACTTGGGCAAAACGTTTTTTGTTTTTTTTTTTCATTTTGGATAGAGCAAGGGAGCATTATAACCCCTGTCAGGTTTTTTTTTTGTTTTGCCTTTGCTTCCTGTACCGTAGCCAAACAGGGAGTGGAAGGAAATCTCTGCAAATAAAGGAATTCCATGGGGACCCCCAGATCACCAGAACTAGTGTCTTGATTGAAAGATTTCCTCTCTATTACTTTTCTGTGGACTACCCAATGTGCATTTTCTTTCACTTTCAAAGAGAATGGTAAACAGGACAAATTGAAAGGGTGAATCTCCCTAATGGGGGCACAGACAGCAATAAAAACTAACAAGAGTTCTAATCCTTCTGCACGCTATCCAAAACTAAAAATAGGTTTTGGTTTGGCTTTAGTTATACTTTAACAAAGTGCAAAGACTAGCTTGGGAAAAGTTTCTATATGTATCTTGTTCCTAACGCCTCCTGTCATGCACAACACCACTCAAGACCCACTCTTCTTGACGTCCACTTACAGAGTGGGTGCCAGTTCCTGCAGCCCGTCTGCTCTGCTCGCCATCAGAAGTAAAAAGATGAAAGCCACACTCTAACAAGCTCTTCTTGCCGCATTTGTTCAAACCATCAGCAAAATAACTGCATGTATAGTATCTCCACACTTCCTTGAATCATTTCCCCACTCCTGGCTCATTCAAAAGATCCTTGCTGATGGTTTAAATAAATACGGAAGGAAGATCTTGTTGGAGTGCAAATTTCAGCTTTTTAGTTCCCAACTCTACTCCGCCATTTTTCTTCCTAAATCTGCTGTATAGATCTGCATGTGTAAATGCTCTGCTTACTTACTATGATTTTATTTTTTTTCTTAAGTTTCTGTTTAGTTTTCAGCTTGTAAATGATTGTTATTGTTTTCAAGTTGTCAAGTATGAAAAAAATATAGTGGTGTGCCATGGCAGCAGGTTAAAGGTTTCTTTTCATTTTCTATCTCCAGAAACGGCCATGGTAGAGGAAATATTTACTGAATAAAAGTTAGTGTTACTGAAACCACAACAGTAAAATCAGTCTGTATATGCAGTAAAGCATGCTTGTTATACTCACTGTGGAACTTAAGGGGTTAATCCTCTGCATTGTGTAAAAAGGCTGTTTGTTCCAGACTTCTCTGCCCTTCCTCTTCTTCAAATGTCCACACTGAAAAGACAGACTGAACCCCTAGCCCTTCTGCACTTACTCAGTTTAGTGTGCATTGCTATAGAGTTTTTTTTTTTTTTTTTTCTTTCGGAGAGTGCATGTGATCAGCACAGGGCCAATCAGCACTCTACAGACAGAGGTCAGGGGTTCTACATCCTCCTAGAGCAGAAAGAAAACTCCTTCTACAAGCTTTTATTATAAAAATATAATATGCTCTGCTGAAGTCACAAGACTGCTCTAAATGCTGATGAGAAAAGGTATTTAGCAATTTTATTTACTAAAATCATTTATTTTCCATGTTCTGTGTGTACTGTGGGAGACCAGATATAGTGAATGCAGAGTCCTGGGTTTAGTAACACTTTAATATCTATTTTTCCTGATTTGATCTTTTACAGATATCTGTGAAAGTTCAAAAGTGCAGTTTTT